TAAGTAGGGATAAATGACAAATTTCAAAGATCTTGAAATTTAACTTAGGGTAGATTTTGTTTAACAAAGTGAAAAAAAAAGGACAACAAATGGAGGTGCTTTTCACATGGCTGACACATCTGAAATCGTCTCTGATTCATGGTAATTAATGTGCCTGATTGTGTGAAAAGTTATATTGTTCTCAGAAATTTTGTCAGTTCAGATCATTTGAGTTCTCTTTTTTTGTTGGTAAGTTTAGCTGAAGGCTTGCCAATATTGTTGCTCCTTTCAGAGAACCAGTATCTGACTTTGTTGGTTTTCTTTACTGTGTTTCTATTCTCTATTTCATTAAGTTCTGCTCTAATCTTTATTATTTCCTTTCTTCTGCTTGCTTTGGGGTTAGCTTGTCTTTTTTAGAGTATCTTAAGATGATAGGTTAGGTTATTGATTTGAGATTTTTTTTAATACAGGGATTTACAGTTATAAATTTTTCTCTAAGTATTGCTTTAGCTGCATCCTATAAATTTTGGTGTGTTATATTTTTGTCTTTATTCATCTCCAAGTATTTTCTAACTTGCCTTGTGATTTCCTCTTTGACCCAATGGTTATTTAGGCACATGTTGCTTAGTTTATACATATTTATGAATTCCCAGATTTCTGTTATTATAATTTCCCTGCATTGTGGTCACAGAACATACTTTGCATGATTTAAATCCTTTTAAACCTATTGAGGCTTGTTTTGTGGCCTAGGTTTTCCCTGGAGAGTATTCCATGTGCACTTATTAAGCCCTCTGCTCTGTGAGTGGGACTATGAGGAAGAAGAGGCCCATGACCTCTTGGGTGTTGTCCCCAGAAATTTAGCCTCTGCAGCCTTTTAAATATTCCTTGATTGGGAGCTGGGGGAAAAAGGAGCCCCTTCTTCTTGGCCATATTCACCTAGAGTGGAGATTTAATCAGGTCTAGTTGGGGGAGGGGAAGGGAAGGAGTGGGTTTGTGGCTCAAATACCAAATACACTGTTCTTACTGAGATTTAGGAGATTTTCTTCAGTAAATGTTTCTTCACTTGCTGTATGTCCTTAGGAGAATTTCCACGCACTTTAATTTCTTTCTATTTCATCAGTTATGGCTGTTTGCTGGGGGCAGCAGGTCTGTGGGACTCTTCATGTCTCATTCTGGATGTAATTCTCTGTCATTTAGAGTGACATCTTTCTCAAAACCTCAGGCTATCAGTTCCCTTTTGGAATCTTCACTTGAATAAGCACACTTTTCAAAATTTTGTGTCAAATATCAACATTGTAATAAAGGGTAGACTCATTTAAAAGAAATAACTTAAAGTTTCTTAAGATGAAAACAAAAGTAGACATACCAGTCATTAACTTATTGAGCTAATTATTCCACAATTTTATTTCACTATTTTATTTTTCCAATTAATTAAAAACAATTAATTAATATGTACTGATCAATGCTTTTCATGTCTTAACTCTACAGACTTAACCCCAAGATGGCATGTGCGCAAATACACATCCAGAAAACCTCATTTTCCTTAGAATCTACCCATTTCTCTTGGAAAACATGAATATAGGAAATATTGACATGATTAAAACGCAGCCTTTATTAAACTTAATGCTGAGCATTGCCTTGGGTCATAGTGTAGAGTGTGATGGAAGAGAAGAGGCATTATACACTGATGATGTGATGCAGCCCCTAAGGATGTGCTCGCAGAAACATTCTCTCCGTTTCTTCTGTGTTCCTTTCCTGTGTTCAGAGTTGTTCCCTGCATTTCTGGTACAAAACTCTTAACTGGCTCTCACTGAGATAACGAGGTGGTGAGACCCTCTGGACATTTTGTAAAGAAAGATAAAAACAATTACAGAAGAAAGGATTTTAAATTGGAAATTTTGTGCCGTATCACACTTAGACTACATTTTAATAAGACTTACTAGAAGTTTTATACTTTGAGTCGCACAGGAATACCCATTTGGAAATGATGCTATTGAGTTTTAAGAAACTTTTTACTTTCTGAAACTCAAGTAAATCTGTATAAACGGCTGCCTTGTAATGCTTTTACACCCCAACTGGAACCCTGTAGTTTTAGTGAGTCAGGAGAACTTAGGACATTTCTTAGAGCTGTTCCAAAGACCTGAATATGCTTGTTTTACTCCCCATGGGCCTGATTCATTTCCAGAATAACTCTACTGCACAGTTCCTGTGTTAAGCTTTAATTGCTTTCAAATTATATTGGAATTCAGTCAGCCTCAGTAGGAATTTTCCTGTGAAATTATATTAGAATCTGGCCCAAAGGTATTTTTTTATATAAAATTCAGATCAAAGTCTATAGATTGCATGAAAAACACTTCATCT